TTGGAACACATGAATACAGATTGAAAGAAAACAGATCGATTATAATAATTAAAGTCTAGGGTTCGTATGGTGCCCAAGAATTATTTTGACTCAATGCAATCTACAAGAAAAGAAAACAAAGCAACCAACAAGGTTGAATCTAATGAAAGGATTAATTCCTTATAATGTGACAAACTGAAGTTTAAATAGAAAGAGATAATTAAAATTAGCTTCCAATGATACATCAAACCTCCAATAATAAAATAGCAATAAAAAATTCAAAGAAAAAAAAAAGGCAGATTTGGGAAGTGGGCCTCCACATGGCCCAATTAAATAAATGAAATTGCTATTTAACAAGCCGAAAAGTGAAAAATTGATAATGATGAGTTTATTTTTATTTTTTGATTGAAAAGAGATGAGAATAAAAAATGAAAAGAAATATAAGAATTATAAAAATATCAATGGTGAAAATGTGAAAAGAACAAAATATTTGAAGTGACTGAAATTTTAAATGATTAGAATGTAAAAAAAAAAATTAAAATTATTTCAAATTCATAAATTTTGTATGTCTAAATAAAGAATTTATCTAAATCCAAATTCAAATGTCCAATGATCCAAACGCACCATAAACTCATGATTTTAGTTTTATTCTCCCCTATTATAGTTCTAATCCCTGTTTATGATATTAGACCCCCTTGCCTCTCTTCCTCTGCATTCCACTACATGCTTCTGCTCCACCAGACAATAACATTGGAACCTTGATATTTTTTTGGGTTCTGGCCGTTGATTACGATGATGTTAGTCCGACCCACTTCCCTCAATTTCTGTAGTGGGATGCCAGAATTCAGACAGAAGTACATGATAATTTAATTTTAAAATTAATAATTAAAAGATGTAATAATTTAAAAATAAATTATATTAAGCATAAAAATTAAATATAATAACATAAATAAAATCATGCATATTTTCTTTTAAAAAAATTATGTTGAGAAGGTTGATATGATTTTTTTTCAGTAAATACGCTCAAGTATGTTATTTCGTGCATCTTATTTGATATGATGAATTTTAATTTTTTTGGATTTGATAGCAGACCAACAAGATTTTCACAAAGATTGCTACTCATCTGATAATAATTTTCTTTTTAGAAATATTTTAATTTGTTAATCTAGAATATAGTGAAATTACAGTTACTTAATCAGAAGGAAATCAATCGAAAATCAATGCAATTATCCAGTATACCAATTTTTTTTTATAAATAAGCCAAAAATTATATCAATTTATTCAAGATATGAATCACAGGATTTTTCCTATTTTCTTAAAATAAAGATAACATATTATGCAATGTTATGGTGGGATCATCAATTTGGTTGGTGGAGTTTACCTTGGGGAGACTACAAAACTTTTATACAAAAAGGATTTCTTAAGTTGTTGGGGTAGGATTTTATTATAAAATAAACTTTTTAATCCAACAATTTTTCATAATATATCTAGTGGGTTTAAAATTTTGGGTTTGAATGTATAGGATTTGAGTTAAAATATCATATATTTGTGTATGTGTATGTGTCGACTGGTTAATATGTTAAAGCACGTGTCGTATACAAAAGGATGAAGCAATTGTAGAGACAAACACAAGCCACACTATCCCATGAAAGACATCTGATTGATCACCACAACCACAGTGCGAGCGCGAAGCCACTTTAACAATGACAACTCACCTTATTGCCCTGAAAGTTGAAAATTATATCCGTTTGTTAAATAAATAATAACATCATTTATTAATTTATTAATTTTATTTATTAATTTATTAATATTAATTATAATAATTGAATAATTAATATCAAATTTTATATAATTATCGACATATTAATTCATGTAATTCACAACTCTTGTTAATAAATTAACAAATGAAATAAAAAAATTAATAATTAATGATTAGATGTAATAAGTAAAAGATATTTTTTTTATCGCTAAAATTATTTTTACTTTAATTTTTTAAATTGAATTTAAATTATATATATTTTTAAGACTCACTAATAATTAAGTCACATTTATTATTATTAATTAAAATTCTGCCAAAAATGAAAACTCCATTGCCTAAGCTGTGATTTGATTGATTCTTTGTATAGATCGACCTAGACACGCGACTATATTACGTGTGTGTTTGGATATGGTTTAGAATTGATTTTTTGGGTAAAAAAATTAACTCTCCAAAAATTATCCAAACACCCACCTTTTTTGTTAATCGATTTTTGGCCTGAAAATTAATTTTTTCTGCAAGATGATAAGCCGAGCGTTTTTGAAAAAGTATGTCAAAAAGCATTAGAAAAAATTATAAAGAAATATCCAAGAAAAAATTATTAAAAAAACACATAATTTAATAAAAATAAAATAAAATCTCTTTTTTTCTATTTTTAATAAAATTCAAAATTTGTATCATTAAAAAATTAATATTTAGTATTTAAAAATTAAATTATATAGTAATTTATATAGCTAAAATTAATTCTGATTAAATTATCAAAACATCTTCAATTCTGTTAAAATTAATTTTAAAAAACAGTATTCAAATAGATTATGTTATAATATAATTAATTATAATCAAAATCTATCACTTAATTAATTATTTTTATAATTTATTATATTTAATTAAAATTCAAACGAGTACTATATCTTCGAACTGTATACTTATGGTCATGTGTGCATCACTTTGCTCGTGCCAATAATAGCTGACCTACGAGGCTATGGGCTTATTTAAAATCATCTTTATTTTATTATTTTAAAAAATAGTATTTTATAAAATATGTTTTGAAAAAAAAATAATACTCCATTCATTTAAAAATATAAGGCATTTTTAATTAAATCTCACCTATGATCAAAATTATTGAAAATTTTTAATTACTGGACATTCAACTATGATCAATAATTTCAATGAAGAATAAAATTTAAAATTTAAAATTTTTAATAAATTTAAAAATATTTAACTATCATTCCTAAATAAATACTTCCTCTAGTTCAAAATATAAGCATTTTTTTAAAATTCACATATCAATAAAATCCATATTAGTTCTCACAAAAATATATATTTTTTCTTGTTACCATTAATTCCAATTACCAATAAATTTCCTAATTAGTGAAAAATAACTTTACAGAAGAATTTAGATTAATAAATATAATGAGTAAAATTAAAAAAATAATTTATATGTAATAAATTACTTATATTTTAAACAATATTTAATTAAGAAGAAGTACTTATATTTTGAATAGAGAGTGATTATTAAACGGGGAGTACATGGACATTTGAGGATTGAGGAAGTAATAGTATGTTTTTCTAGTACTCTTGAACCTTGTGCTTATTTTAATCCTGCTACATCTTGTCACGATCTTTGAACTTTCCTTTTCTTGAACCACACCTGCTTTAGCTTAATATACCTCTTAATTTTAGCTAAGTCAAGTGAAATCTCACAATGTAGGTAAAGAGAGTAAAAGAGCTAAGCACACAAGTCGAGAGTAGAGAATTTGATTAAATGAACTTTAGAGATTTATTACTTTTCTTTGGTTGGTTACAAATGAAGGATAGAGGTACATATAAGCCTCCTTCTTCTTTTAAAAAGTTTCCATCCCCTTAATGGATAGTTGGAATTGATTCAACCTAATAGTACGTACCTTCAATATCTAAAGTATTCTATAAAAATATGTACAAGAAATCTTGATATTTACAAGGAGATTTCTAGAATATACAAGAGGAAGATATCCGTAAAATAATCTAAATACTCCATGTACTCTTCATACTTTTCTAGAGATATTTGGATCTTAAGATCATATCAATGTATTCTAGAAATCTCCGGTGCCTTCGTAATTGTTTTGGATATCTCTAGTCACCTTTGGATCATTTCAAAAGCTTCTAAAATATTTTAACCTCATGAAAATTTATAACTTTGTCACAGCCTACTCACTTGAAAAGACAATGACTCTCAATTATGTTTTTGTTTTTTTATACTTAGAAAACATATAAAGTAATTGGAATGGGCCTTAAATATTAAATAAATTTTTATTAAAAAATAAATAAGACTAAATAAATCAAACTACATTATATAAAATATAAGTCATGCATAAAAATTATAAGTTATATCCTATCTTTTGATATTTATAAAAATATTTGTTATTTTTAGTTATTAAATGCATTTTACTTTTTTTACTTTTATCTATTCTAAAATTTTGTTTTTATTAGTTTATATTAATCTTTATATTTTTATCTAATTATTTTATCATTAGTTAGACCGATGGTCAAACCAGTTGAATAGTAAAAAGCATGACCTACTAGCTTTTTTGGTTTGACATTCGATCTGATTTTTAAAACATTGTGATATATAAACATATTCCCTTATGTCATATTTATTAGGCAAAGAGAGAATAACTTTTTTATCCTATTTATAATACATGTCATTGATTTGTTATCTCAAGTTTTTCCTTTAGGTTAGGGTGTATTTTACTCTTAAACCATTCTTCAAGGAGGACCTAATATCCTAAACTATTTGTTGAACTAATTTTATTCCTAAAATAATTAAAATATAGCATATTTGCCCCTATGTTAAATAACCCAACATTAACTCTTAGAAATATTGGTTGGGACTTAAGTTTGATTGAAAATGCTATCTATCATGTCAAGTGGATCTAAGTTAAGGTGCATTTTTATCCTTAAACTATTTTATGAGAAGTACCCAGTGTTTTAAATCATTTGAATCATGCAATTTCATCGCAAAAGTAATTAAAGGGTAGTAAAAATGTACCTTAACTTAGATCACTTGGCTAGACAAGTGGCATTTTCAATCAACATTTTTAATTGTTATCATTGAAATAGTTATCATCATGCGCAAATATATTATATTTTAATTATTTTAGAAATGAAATTGGTGCAATAAATAATTTAGAATGTTGGATGTTTTTTGGAGAATATAATATTTAATTATATGCATGGTTGCATAATATAATTTTGAAAACATTAATTCCTTTACACCTAAATCAATACTATGTAATATATAATACATGAAGACAAAGTTTCCATCAAACCGCAATGAAACGATACATACAACATAGTCGGAAACTACCATTCATGATGCAACAAACGTAAAATAAAGAAATTTGGAGCACTCTTTGCAACCAATGCCAACAAACCACATACGAAATATTACATTAAGCTTTCCTTCTATCATTGACCAAGCCTACGCAAGGTTATTGGATAACCCATCGATGCCGACGGCGATACCATGGACATGAACTCAGAGTCCCTTGCCATGGCTTCCAGTGTTTCATGGGAAGCACACATCTCGAAGTCGAAGCTACCTTCTTCTGCTCCGGCATCAGCCGCCAGTTTCCATACCTTTGCATTGGCAGGGCCGAGGCGAACGGCCTCCGGCCTTCCCCACCCGAAGTCAATGTCATAAAAGTTAGTTCTCGGCGAGCTACTGGTTGCCATAAACCTCCCATTTATAGCACGTTGTGAACGCATCTTTGGATTTTGCGCCCAAGCTTCAAAGTCCTTCTTGATCTTCTCTTCTGTGCATGATGAGATTGCCTCGTTCATTTCCAATGCAAACTTCCCAAGGCCTCCATCTCCCACCAAGTCCCTTACTTTCATCGTCACGGGAGTCATGAACTGCACTGTGATTCCAAAATAGTTGTCTGGTATTGGTGGATGTGAAACTCTAGATCTAGCGGATATGAGGAATCCGTAAGTGACTTCTTCTTCAGGGTCAAGATTCTGATTTCTAATAGCAGACCTCCAAACATGGCCGAGCACAGCTTGCAAGGAGGAGATTTTGTTGCTGATGACAACATCCTCGACCTCTGAGTTAGCTTTTGCTTTGAGTTCAGCAATTTTTTCCCTTTTAAAGTGAAAGATCCTCCTAGAGAATGGACCTGGTTGAACTGAATTAGTAGATCCCTTCCTATAATTCTCCATTATTTCTTTGTATGGAATTCGTAAAGGACGTTCAATTTGACCATGAGGAAACCATCTTTCAAATGTAGCGAGCTGTGAATCTGAAGCTATGTGGTTTAAACCATTTCGGGAGATCTCTGCCCATGCATTCCAAAAATCCCAGCCCGGCTTCACATCAGCAAGACAATGGTTCGTCGACGAAGCGATGAAGATGCCATCCACTAGCTCTGTGACTTGAACCGCCATTAATGGTACCCTTGTTCCTTCAAAGTTATTCAAATTTCCAGTTGGGAAAAAAGAGCAGAGAAATGGAGGAACATAAGTGGGTTCCACAATGTCTGCAATTGTAGTATTCTCAGCAATGGCATGAACAAAGCTTACTCCAGCATTGTTGCAACTGACGAAGACGGAGGAGGTGTCGTCATCCTCGTTGGCAATGACTGCAAGACGGCCGGCGAGGGGTAGGTAGAAATCGAGGGCGGAAGAAAGCGCGTCCTTCAAGTGCTGGATCACTGTCTCTGCGTGTTCAAACGATGATGATGAAGTGGGTTTGTGATAAAGAAGTCCCTTTTGACCATGTTCAAGAAGCAGATACTGAAGATCCCATGGATTCAGGTCAATTAGCTGTGGTGATTCGCCATTGTTAACATGGCTTCGAGCTTGAACTGTAGTTGTGGAGATCAATCGGATGGCTTCCATATTGGAATAGAGTTGCTTTCACTTTGCAATTGCTGGTCTTTGGCCTTTTACAGGCCAACAAGATTATATCAAACAAAGCAGCGACGTATCGACGTAGAATCATGTGGATGTCAGGAACGTATCTACGTCTTGGCTTATGGGGGCAACTTTCCCCACAAGACTTAAAAAAAATTATGCAAAATGATCCAAAATCTTTCAATTGTCCTCTTAAAAAAATTCAATTGCCTCCTATTTCAGAAGAAAAGTTTCACTTTTCCCTTCAAAGCCTCTCTTATCCCCTAAAAAAAAGTTTTAACTCAAATTTTATCTATATTTTATAATCTTAAATAAATGGAGGGAGAAATAATTTAAAAAATAAACTTCTTTAAGTTTAAATCTTTTCAAAAATAATTAACATTCATCTTGTGTAACAAATTTGCTCCCACCATTTAATTTTTCTGAATCCGTCGCTAAATTGTCAAGGTCTTGATGATATTTTCATCCATGCGATTGGTGATTAATTATTTTAATTTTTATATAACGTTGTATGGAGTTGAAGACTAAAAAAGTGACCTGTAGCATCTGGCCAGAGATGGGCCAGGGAAAAAAGTATTTTTTTTTTCCTTAAAAAAGGAAAATAAGTGGATGAATATGTTTTGGCGTTGATATATATTCGTATTGGCAAAAAAATAATATATTCATATTGGTATATATTCCGGAATGATAATGTTCCTGTCACCGAAACTATAACGATGGGAAATTTTCTAATTTCAGACATTATCTGAGAAACGAATGAATAAATTACATATTACAGGTGTACTTTTTTATCTATAAATATTTTTTGTTAGAGAAAATTCCATTCAAGTACCACATATACATGCTGAACTTGACAACTAGAGACCATAATTTATTATAATTAGCTGGGCCCATGCACGCCGGACAGTCCGGACCAACTGGAAAGTGGAAACCATGTATTTGATTTTAGAACGTGAGCCTCCTCAAATCAATCAGTCATTATTATTAATTGGGGCGGGGTCACCTTGGTTTGGGTGGCAAACACTTTGAAAAAAATTATAAATGAGATATATAAAATTTATAATTTTATATTTATTTTTGATATTTTATCTCTTTTAAATTAAATATAAAATATTTAAATTTAAAAAATTATTAAATATATAATATTTTAATTATTTAAATAAGATATAAAAAGCATATTTATAATAAAATATTATATTAATTTGTTCAGTATAATTTTTAAAAAAATAATAATAAAATTATTTATATTATTATAATTTTAATTTTAAAATAATTATTATTTTAAAAATATTATTTTTTTATATAAATTATTTCGTACCCCTCCTGGTTCCGCCAATGACATCTATATGATTTTCATCAAATTAAAGAAAATAATTAACTGAGCGTATATATACACACATGGCCACGTGGCGTTGAGATGATGAGGCATTCAAATGATGACAATGTCATCGTTTTCACGGGTCAGGGGTGTCTCAGAAAGGTCCGTATCATGTCATGAATGTACAGGAAATATAGTACGACCTTGTCGGCACTAGGGAAAATAGAGATTCCCGTTGCTTTTCTTCGTCACGACGACGAGTCGAGCCCATCAATCAGCTTGTCTCAACCTGTATAGTAGTAGGATTAGGTTTGTGAATACGATACCAAAATAGTAAATGGGGCTTAAACCCCGATCTTAAATGGGCTGGTTTTTAAAGGCTGAAGTCCAGCTAATTTAAGCCACGCTCGTATAACTAAAATATTTAAATTTATCAATTATAAAGCGTAATTTGATTAAAAATTATATGACTCACATTCAAATCATGGCTTTTTTTACTTTTAAATTTTTAAAATGTCGTATACTCTATGCTATTCTCCTTAATAAACTTGTGGAAAAAGTTAGGTTTCAATTTCTCGATAAACTATAGGACAGTCCCTTGATAAAGTGTAGGATAAGATTATACTCTTGTACGCTAGAAGTCAGCTTAAATATCATATAAATTTTTTCTACTCTCAATCCCCATGCAAACTCCCGCTCACTGATCATGTCATATATGATACTCACTCATTTTTACATTCTCATTTATTGATTATCACAATCACACATTGGACTCACGACTATGCACTACCAAATGAACATCAAGTCTCATTTCCATTTATATCACATAAGCACATTATAAACATGCAATTCATTTTGAACATCACTTTTGCATGTTCTAATGCACATTAAAGTAATTATATAAATGCAAAATTTTATTACATGATACACTCATTCACAAGTCATAATTTGCATGTTAAACATAAGATTCACATCATACTATAATTAACATACAACTATCCAAAATAGGGTTCCCTTAGTTGTCCCAAACTTTTAAGAGGTTAAAAATTCACCCCTCAATATTATAGCTTCCAAGCTTGAATTTTCAAACTAAATTGGTGTCCAAGAGCTTAATTTACAATTTATCAATTTAACCCTCATTAACATTGTCAAACACACACATTTTAACTCTTATCTTCTACTTCTAGATTATTTAATGCTCACTTTGTATAAATTTAGACCTACCCATTAGGTTTATTAACTCTATTTATTTCATATTATTTTAAGTACAAGCATGCATGTTTATTCTTATTAATAAACATTGTAAATAATATAATATTTAATTTATCAAGCCTATATTCATATTCTTGGTAGTCACATTAATAAACGGGTGTCCACTAGGGTTATCATTAGGTGATATGGGTAACAAATCAATTTAGTGGTTGTCTAGGTCTTGCTATAGAAAAAAAAAAAAAAAACTTCAAGAATGATCAAGTGACGTCCGATCATGTATTTGTGGGGTGTGTATTATTTCATCCTATTATGAATATTCGAGTCTCTTCACGGCTTTTTTCTGTTAGATTAGATTTTGTCATCATTTTTAAATTTATTTCCAAGACTTCTTTAAACTTAATTCATCTTAACTGTATCATAATTATAATTACAAAAAATCTACATAAAAATATCATGGCCATCCCAAATTATTTTATTTTAAAGTTAATACAAAAATGCTATTCTAATAATATCAATTCTACTTTTCACTTCATTTATGTTGTGCTCTTATTTTATTCTATTATTTGAAACTATTTTATTGTGGCTTATTAGTTTTTTTTTTTTTTTTGACAAATAGATCCACGAAAGAACAAACACCCAAGAGAGCCACTAGACAAATGCTTCAAAAACTCCAATCAATCAAAGCCCATTGAAGAGCTAAAAGAGTATGAAGCAAGGAAAGGGTTCCCGTAGGAAAAGAGATTCTCTGGTTGACACATGAGAACGATGAAATGTTGAAGAAGGCATTCAAAAAATCTACAGACCCACCGAAGAAGATGACCCAAGGAACGACCAGCAGGCATATAGCACTACAGGAAGAAAATTAATAAACATGCTGACTGGTGGAAATTTATGGTGTGCTTCACGATCGTATAATTGAAGGAGAGGGTTAAGATTAGCTAGAAATCCCAAATTTGGTTTTCTAGTTAGACTACAAAACTAGGAAAGCTCGGAACCAAAAGAACTCCAAATTGTAAGACGATAAAAAGCCTTTCTTAATGCTGGACCTTCAAAAGTTCCATACCAGTCGCTTACCCCAAACAATGCTTCCAGTGAAGGGCCAGAACATGTGCCAAAAGAATAGAGTTTGATTTTTTTTTTTCTTTTTCATTGCCAAGGTATCCCCACAGTCATCAGCAGCCGTGAAATTAATATCTCCAAGAATATCTGAGCGCCATTTAAAATCTTTTCCTCTTCCAAGCCATTGTTTTCACACACACTTCAAGGAAAATCTTTTCACCAACACATTTTTGGCCTTCTTAAGTACTCCACCATGTGAAACAACCAGAACAACTTCCTTAGGTCTTAACCAATGATTATTTAGCTACCATAGCAACTCGTCTCAGCTTCCTGGCTTAGATCTTTAGGTCCCTGGAAATCTTTCGGCTAGGTTAAAAGAAAGAGAAACAAAAGCTCTCCAAATAAGAGAGAAAAGCTCTCCGGCCACTACCGTCCTTCTACTCAACACTAGAGAATCGTTGACCAAGGAAAATGATAGAGAAATTTTTTTTTTTTGGTAAATATAAAAGAGAAGTTTTGCTCCCCTTTATTGCCTCCAAAATAGAACAATTAGGGAAATATCTCCCCTTAAGGACCCGGCACCGAAGCTCCTCAGGTCTCTAAATTATCCTCTAGACTGTTTTAGCAAGCAAAGCCATATTAAAGCATTGGAAGTTTCTAGAACCCAAACCTCCTTCCCAACTCTTCCAATGTAGTTTGTTGCCATCATGAGCATTTTGACCCCACCAAAAAATTTATTAGGCAGATTAAAAAATTTATTGCCTGGTCATTATTTTTACTTATACTCTATATATATAACTCCGGTCATTATTTTTACTGTTAAGTATTATTGTTAATTATATCTTTCCATTAAAAATTCATTATCTTGCATTTTACTGTACCAATCATTTTCATTTCCTAATATCAATTAGCCGTTCAGAGAGGTAACATTAACATACTGCCACAATGTATAGAATGGATAGGGACCACTTTGTTAGCATCTAACAATTCTCATTTCTTCCTCCTCTTAGTCAAATTGCTGCTATCATTATTTTCTTTTTTAAAAGCAAATATTACCTTGCTGCTCAAACTTGTTTCATTGTTACTCATTTGCCAAATAATTTCTACTTATTAGCATTTTTTGCTTCCGATCTAATTGAAATTAACACCGAAACCACTAATCATAAATTTAAGGTAGCAGCCACTTCAGGTGTATTTATTCCACTTTTACTGTTTACATTACTTTTTATCTGAAATTATGAACTTTTCAAAATTTTTATAGCATTTAGAGTGCTAAAAATTTCAAATAAAAACTTTGAATACCGTAGCACTGTCATTATTTTTTGTCATTCTTTCTTATAATGATAAGAACGATGCCTGTAGTGAAACTGGGCTAAAAAAATCAAAATAAATTAGAATTAGGCACGGTTTATTCAATGAGAGTATAAAGTTATACACATATAAAACAGAGAGCTTTTGGGCTTAGTCCAATTTATTACTCCATTTCATTGTCTCTTCTTTGTCCACTTTCTAACCCAAAACGTCCAAATCCAAATAAAGGTTTTTTTTTTTTACCAGAAATCCAAATAAAGTTGAAGGATCACACGAATTATGAGTTCATATAGCCCGGCCATGCATTAAGAATATCCCTTAGAATCTTTTCAATAAGTTCTTAAAATATTACTATAGAAACGTTGACCGGCCTAAAAAACAGAACTTAGAGAATCTTTTTGTATCAGCTGTGGACTTTTTTATGATCCATTACATTTTTTTCATCTTGGCCAGGCAAGTTGAGACCGGGCTTAAAACAATGGAAGACCATTTTGTATTAGTGAGTATAAAATTTAAAACAAGTTTTATTACTTAAAATTTGTAAATAATAAAACCTATATTATTTAAAAGTTAATTATAAAATGTACTTCAATTATCAAGGGACACGTTAATAGTTGGCAATTGGCACCATAAAGTAATATATTTGAATGTGACACACCATGTGGCATAAGTAAGATGACTGGTTAATTTATTCATTGATTTCAAATTATGTACTCTATGATATAATCATATATTCACTCTTACTATAATATAGGGTATTTTGTAGCAATTATTTTTGGTTTGAAATACTCCTTCCACCTTTTTATTATAAAAGAAACTATCATATGCTTTTTATTATAAGCAAAGCTATAAATTTCAAGAAGCATTTATCATATTTTTTTTTCAAATTATCTCCTATAAAGTCAATGTTTATTTTCACGAGATAAATTTGTTTCATTAATTATTGAGCGAATTTAATCTAATTTCAAAATCAAATTGGACATCAACATGTGACGGCCGGTGATACGTAACATTAAATCATCTTTTAAGAGTAGATCAGAATAAAAGAGAATATGGTTTACTTCTGTAGTACGTTATTAATTAATGACAGCTAGCAATTGCAGAAAAACACTCAAATTCTCCCATGGCAGCGACCAGAGTGATCTCCAATACTACAATCCAAGCACGAAGCCATGTTTATATGAATGGCGATTCACCTGCACGAATTGAGCTTAATCCATGGGATCTTCGTTTCATAGTTCTCGAGTATGGTCAAAAGGGCCTTCTTTTCCACAAACCCACCATATTATCATCATCATCTTCTTCTTCTTCTTCTTCTTCTTCTTCGTATCACACAGACAAAGTGATCCAGCACCTTAAGGGCTCTCTTTCTGCCACCCTCAACTTCTTCTTGCCGCTCGCCGGCCGTCTTGCTATTGTCCCCGACGCCGACAATGATGGCATCTCTTCAGTCTTCATCACTTGCAACAACGCTGGAGCAAGCTTTGTTCATGCAATTGCAGAGAACACTACAACGGCCGACATCCTCGAACCAACTTATGTTCCTCCGATCGTCGAGTCCTTCTTCCCACTTGGCAAATCGAAAAACTTCGAAGCAACTCATATCCCATTAATGGCGGTTCAAGTTACGGAGCTTGTGGACGGCATCTTCATCGCTTGCTCGATGAACCATTGTCTTGTTGAAGTGAAGCCATACTGGAATTTCTTGAACACTTGGGCTGAGATTAGCCGAAATCGTTTGAACCACTTAGGGTCGGATTTGAAGCTTGCATCATTTGAACGTTGGTTTCCACGTGCTGATATTGAACGCCCCATACGAATACGATTCAAACAAATAATGAAGGAATATTATCTTGATGAATCTGCTTATTCTCATCTTTCACCTCCAATTTCGAAGAGGATCTTCCACTTTAAAAGACAAAAAATTGCTGAACTCAAAGCAAAAGCTCTATCAGAGGTGGTAGACGATGGTGTGGTCAGCAATGAAATCTCCTCTCTGCAAGCTGTCGTCAGCCATATTTGGAGATCTGTGATAAAAAATCAGAATCTTGATCCCGAAGAAGAAGTCGCTTTCAGATTCCTTGTATCTGCTAGGTCCAGAATTTCAAACCCACCAATTCCCGAAAGCTATTTCGGAAACACAGTGCAATTTGCTAGCGTGATGATGAAAGTAAGAGACCTGGTGGGTGATAGAGGACTTGGAAAATTTGCTTTGGAGATGAACAAGAAGATCTCGGAATACACAGAGCAGAAGATCAAGATGGACTTTGAAGCTTTGATCCCAAATCCCATGGTGCGTTTACAGAGTGGCATAATTGGGAAGGTTATGAATTGTGGCAGCAGCACAAGAATCAACTTTTACGCCATCGACTTCGGCTGGGGAAGACCGGCAGCAATTCGCCGTGGCCCTGCTTTTATGCATGATTGGGACCTGGTGGCCGATGCCGGAGCAGAAGAAGGTAGCTTTGACATTGAGCTTTGCATGTCCTATGAAATATTAGAAACTATGGGAAGAGACCCTGAGTTCATGCATGCGGTGTCGCCGCCGGAGCCAGTAAGGTTATCCAATAAACTAGCACGAGGTCGACTGTGAAAGGAGGAGAGAACTTGATGTAACATTTTGCATATCATTTGTTATCTTTGTACGCAAGTGTATATCGAGCATCTATGTTTTACCTAGTCGCATTACAGTTTATGATAAGTTTGTCGTATTTATTAATTAATTTGTTCGTTTTCATGTATTGTATTTCATATTGTGTGTGTGTGTGCAAGTCAATAGCGTCATCTTTATGTAATGGAAAACGACATAATAATATGATAAAATCCCTGACATCCCATACAACACTAAAAATATACAAGGGAAAAAAAAAAGACAGCAACTACAAAACACTGACAGGACACAACCATAACCGCAATAAGAAGGAAATCATTCACCCAATTACTGATTCACAAAATTGCAAGTGACAGAGAAATGAACCCGGTAAGCATGCTGGGTAAGAAATGCTTCTAAACCTCCATTCATTCGAACTTGCAAAGAAGTCGATGGAGTATGAAGCATGTTGTGGATTCTCGCAGGAAAAGAAAACCCATCGTTTTTGAGAAAACAATGGAGGTTTTTTCAGCGGTCTTATCTTCTTGAACTAGCCAACAGGGATGAAAACCTGGTATACAAAAAGCCCACCCTAGCAGCTCTGCATTATGGATCATTGAGTGGTTGCCTGGAAACTCATAGACCCATCCATCGACATTGTAGGCAGATGAAGTTTTTTCTTGGAAATTAACTCCGTAAAAACAATCAGGATCAGCAGCTTCAAGAGAATAGTGCCAGCTTGTAACTAGAGTGAGGGCTTTAAGACAGTGAGACACGGCTCTGGCTCAGCCAAACGCAAGAACAATTTAAAATTTGAAGCAAGTGAAAGGAATAAAGAAATGGATCATAAGAGGAAAACACTTACTGGAACCGAAGAGAGGCGAGGAGCCTAAGGGAAGTCGAAGATTCCTGCCAGAGAAAAAAGACCCATTTCAAAAAAAAAAAAAAAAGAACCAGAGAAAAAGAGAAAAATGTAGAAAGATCAATACTTACTAGAGCGGCATTTTGAGGCAGTCCAAGCGGGTTGCGAATGGCGACCAAATCCTTAGATAGATTGGCAGGTATAATGGCTCGAGCATTCTGGGCAACATCAATTTGAGAGGCCATTGTTGAAAGAGATGAACAAGAGAGAATGCGAGAAGACAGAGCAAAGAGGCTTGAAGAGCAAGGAAGAGCCGGGAGTACAAAGAAGCAAGGGGAATGATTGATGTAGACAGGGAGGCTTATACTCTTGAGAGGCTGGAGGTAACAAAACGACGCATCGATTCCCATTCAAACGTGCCACGTAGCATAAGATTATCAGCCTCTCACACGCAAGGGGGCATTGTTTGGACCTAAAGTTGAAACGGTAGCCCAAAAGCAAAGAAGAGAGCTAAGATAAATGACATGACAAGCCCAAGAAGCATAGTTCAATTCATTTCCAAGAGAAGGGCATGTCATTCATGAACTAGACGTAACCCTCAAGATTCAAGGCAATTGGACATTAAGGACCGTTGAGTGAATATAACGTGATCATCTTACGTGCCACGAATCATAAGGGTGTCAAGTTAATGCTTATAAAAGGACTAAAGAACGTCATCATCAGGAAACAATATTATCATTTTCAGACAAAGCCAATTTACTTTTTAGATTTACCTTGCATTTTTTATTAGTCTTAGAATCACTTTTAACTTTGAGTTGCAATCAATGTAATTGGATACTTTTATTTTCATCATTAATTTAAATATAGATTTTATTTCAATCTCTTTACATCTCCACATTTAAATAAACTATAATCAAGGGAGTTTAAGGATCCTTTTGTTATCTCTGAAATTCAATATCTCTGTCATATTTGGTATTTATATATTTATTTTTTTCAATTTTGAAGCTTAAAGTGATGGAGTTATTTTTTTGCCTCTCGTTGGTTGGTGATTTTTTTTTTTTTTTTGGTTAGTTGGTGATCATGAATGAATAGACATGTATATGTACATTTATTGAGACTCAGAATTGCCACAAGTCAAGGGACTCATCCTTAGAAAAGGGTGAGATATCTATATATATTCGAAAAGTGGGACACGGTACCATTTAAAATCCTTGATGATGAAATTAATTAAAATGATCTAAAGCTCGAACGTTGAGTTATATATTGCCAATTTAATATGCCAATAATCAATAAAATTATTTAATTCCGGGAAGAAATACATGTTCGTCAGAAATTAATTTCTACAAAAGAACAGTTAGAGAAGAGTAACATGCAATTTAATTAAAGTAAAAGTGTGCGTTTTTTTCTTCTTTCTTTTTTAAATTTTGGGTTGAGGGAGTTAAGATCCTGTTTGGTTGACAGGTTGAGAGTGTTGGGTAGGGGAATGGATACTTCAAAATGAAAAATTCATGACCTTCATTAAAGTTATTTTTTTTAAGAAAGAGAGAAAATATTTTATATATAGTTTATAAAAATAATAAAAATGAGATTAAGAATATAAAAAAGAAATTTAAAAAATCATAAATCTCAACCTTGGAGAACTTAAATCCTTTTAGTAGAGCAATGATAGTATATGAGATAATGATTAATTAGGATAATTAGGATTTATCTAAGATATTAAGATTATCCATTAAAGATATTTAAATAAGGATATTTATTCATTAGAATAGGAATTTATTATTTATTCTATTAATATCTAAGATAATAATAAATAGAGCTAGATTTGTATTTATATTAAATAATAGTTTTCTAAGAGTTTTGGTATTCCCCTTCCTTTCTCTCTTCTTTCTCTACCCCCACTCTCTTCTTGTTTCACATCAAGAAAAGGGTGATTTATATCCATTGAGTGGCTTAAGCACAATCACCAATAAGTACCTTAACTGTAGTCGCTAGATTTCATTAATATTTAAAAATTATCAAAATTATCTCCATTATTAGCTAACCAAAAAATTAGGAGAATGACCTAAAAAAATTTAAGGAGCTTTGTCAATATTAATTTTCTTATATGATCATTTTTTAATTTATTAATAAATATTGTAATTTACAAATCTTTACACACAATTTACAAGTCATTTATAAATTTATGAAAAATTAATTTGAGCTATTAATATTTAAAAATAATTTATATATTTTGGATGAACATTTGCAAATAATAATATTTAAATGATTAAATATATTTAATTTTTAACAGTATTTATCATTTTATTTATAAATAATAATTATTAAAAATATTTTACATCTCATCTCATAATTGAAATGATTATAATGTAATGATTAAGTATGTAATACTAAAGTTATATTAAATGAAGAGTATTTTTGGATATTTATATTTTTATTAGGAAAAAATAAGTTTGTAAAATGTCATTATTGAGGGATGGAGGAAGTATCTCTTAATAATTTCAATGCAAAATGACAAAAAAAAAAAATACTCCACAAAAATTAAGAGACATTGCAATTGTACGAATCACAATTGAAGCTAGTGATAAATTAAGGTTGATTCCTCAGGGAATTAATTAAAATAGTGACTATGCATTAAATTTCTAAATTCATTCACATTAGCAAACAAAACTTGAGATTGATTTTAGAATAATTAAAATAAAAATATTAAAAATAATCAATTAAAATAACTATCAATCCACAAATAAACTAAAGTCAACCAAAAAAAGAGTGTTTTAGAGTCCTAATCTCCTAGTTGCTTACTAACCCTTTCATTGCCACATTAATTGTCTTGAAATTCAGTTTTAATAATTTGAGAATCTAAATTAATTTAAAGTATCTTTCAATTATTAAGGACCCTAATTAATTCAATTAAAGAAAAATATTACCTTAATTAATTAATTGCATTAGAGACCCTAACCTATAAGGATTGCCTAGATCCATTAGGTACATTCCTGTTCTAATGGCAAATGAGCTAAGCTAATCCTAGGCTGTAACATCCTAAAAAATTTTAAGACTTGGATTTATTTTAAAAAAATTAAATAAAATATCTATAATTAAATTAAAATTTAAAATAATTTGATAGAGGTCCAAAGTTTGAATTTTTTTTAGCAAAAGTTTGCTTTTATTTTATTTTTAATTATGGAAAAAATTACCAAAGAAAGTTGACCCGGGCTTATGTGCTATAATAAAAAAATGTTGGGCCTTTTCTTGTAATTTTTCCCAAACTTTTAGATCAGCATTTTAAAGAAAAACTGAATGCAGAAACAAAAGAGAGAAAGAAAGGAGAAAGAGAGGGAGTTAGGCTCAGATCTAGGAGGCTTTGCGGCCGTTGTGAGCTCGGCTACATGATAGGTAAACTCACTACTTCAATCCTCTTCCCTTTCTCTTTGTTTTTCTCAATTTTGGAAAAAGAAATTTCTGAAATTTGATCCAAAAGGCTTTATTCTTGTAAGCTTTTGTTTATTTGGATCCTAAGGAGAATGTTTTGAGTTTTTATATAGTAATCTAATATTTTGAGTGGATAATTGAATGAAAAGAGGTGTTTTGGGCACAAATTAAACCCTGAGAGGTTGGATTTTACTCCTCAATAGTTTAAACCTATTGATTTAGTTATAATTTTGCTATTTGAGCCCAATAAGATTTAAATTAAGGTTTGATTTTTATTATAAGGGCTAATGGTGAAAGTTGGTGACATTAAGTGAAAGTTTTTAATTGATTAAAAATTATATAAATTGAAAATTAGCCTAGTGATGGCTAATAAATGGTTTTGGTGGTTAAGTGATACTATGTGAATGATTGGTTTAATATATGGACCATTAGGATGGATTATGACTCATAGACCCAAGTTGTGTGGTATGAGTTATAGTCTTCATTAATGCTATTTGACATGATAAGTGATGTAGATCACTTATATGTTGTAGGAATTATTGGTGAAATTTGTTCAGAAGTTAAGGAACAAGCCGAGCCCTATTTTGTACAAGAAGAACCCTTTTGGTACCAAAGAGTTGAGGTAACAGAAGAATTTATATTTCTTATTACTTTGTTTTAGCTATTTTTAAATAAATATTACTAACTATCATGCATTACATGTTTTAAAAGATTAAATGTGCTTTATAAGGGGTTATGGGATACTACTTTGATTATAGTATTAATATGTTTTCTAATTGTTTAACAATAATGTTTTTATAGAAACAAGATTTATTTACATGTATTATAATCATAAGGAATAGAAGTTGCACTTAAGGAAGCATAACTAAGTAAGGTACCTTAGATAGGCTAAGGAACCATTTAAGGGAGATTTATAAATGTTATACTACCTTAGAGTGTTGAAGTGGTCAATACTCGGGAAAGATAGACACGAATAAAAGGCATGATCTCGGTGGGAGTTCACCAATGAGAAAGTGTGGACTTTTGATATTCCATGGCACACTGCCAGTACTCAGTGTTTCCTTACGTATTATGGCCTCAATGCATTAAAGTGGTTAGCATATTAAGTGTTCGACACCTTCCAGTGGGGGAGGGAATCTGACATATGAAGTGTGAGGTTAAGTGCCTAGGCCAAGGTAACCCTTATATGGAAAGTAAGTCGGGCTGGCTCTGGGAGGGAGTTAGCTTTGACTGCTCAGGATTCACGTCGAAGAGGCATAAGCGATTCAGTGGATTAGATCATGCCTTAGATTATGTTTTGTGCCTGTGGAGATACAAGTAGGTATAAGGTTTACCTGCGAGTTAAAGAATGCCAGGAGGCATTTTGTTGGTCATAAAAGGCCATACTGGCCTAGGTCATGCATTTATGCATTTTAAATGGCTAAATTATACTATGTTGAATTTATTATTCGCTTATTCGATTATGGCTTGCTTTGTAATAATCAATGTAGATTTCTCTGTTACTGAGACTGTGGTTGTCTCACCCCTCCCTTTTCAATATTCTAGGTCCAGGCAAAGGAACCAGTGGAGGATGGGGAAAGGAGCAGAGCTAGGGGTTATTTGTGAATTATAAAGAACTGTAACCCCTTTCTTTTATGCAAATTTATTGTAATATATTTAAGATTAGGGTGTCAGTAGAATATGATTATGTATATGTGCGTGAGTATGTGTGGATTGTATGGCTTGTGTATGAATTTTTGATTGCTTGTAGACTTGTGGTTAGGAAACTTGGCTATGGTATGTGGTTTTGATGGATTTATTTAGTAGACCAAGTTTCCACTACAAGCAAATATTTATTTTGATATATATGTGATTTCACAAACAAATGCAAAGTGGTTACATTGCAAAT